AACAGATTTTCTAACCGCTTCGCCACTTTTCTTTTTCCTTTTTTCTCCTTTTTTTTTTTTTTAATATAATACCATATCATTGGAAAGATATGCTTTGATGAAAAAGTAACCCGTATCCTTTGATGTTTCGCCTTGACTGAGGCATATAATCTTTCCAGGGAAACCGTCTCTCGCGCTTCGTTCCACGCACTCGCCTATTTCCCTCCTCCCGTTTTACGTTATATATCGTCTCGTACTTATCCCATATACGTTCGTTTCCGAAGAGAGCGAGATTCGAGAGTACAAACTCTAACGAATTCCCCGAGAAAAACGTAACCTCGCCGGATCATATCCCGAATATCGTACCGCCTCCCCAAAGGCTCGACGATCCTTCGATCCCCGAAGCGTAAATATTAATACCGTAAAAAGAATCCTGGATCCTTCCGTGTATTTATTTGCCGATCCCGGGGGAGGAGAGAGAGATACGAGACCCCGTTTCGATCCAATTCTAGACACGATCCAATATCGGACGGCCATAACTCGACCCCGACAAATCGCAATTCATGCACATACAGGTCGCGACGGTGTGGGTATTAGGAATTCCAGGGGATGCGTTCTCGAAAGACGTTATGCATGCACGTCGAGTTACCCTCGAGTTACTTGGCTGTCTTGGAGTCATTAATAGCGACAACCTTGGGAGGGAGGGAGGGAGGCATCGTTGTTCCTTTGCCGTTGCAAGAATACGAAGATCGAGGAAATATGTTGGTTCGATTCGGCGAATTCGATCGGCGAAACTATGGCAACCCTGTTCGAGAGGCAAGAAACACCGATGGCGGGGAAGCGGCGAAGAAACGTTGGCAAAAGGCGTTTCGTTTTATTACGAATGGGCAATCGATAAAGCGGCAACCACCTCGCGAGTTTAACGAGTGGAAGCAGCTGTCCAGGTGGCATTAGTCACCGGGATGTAATTTGTGGCCCACGCCCTGTTACGCGTGCATGAAGGGTGAAGGAGGGAGAGGGGGCGGCCGAACGCTTGTTAAACGGCGTTATTCCCGGTTTGGAATCGGTGAACATGTTTGCGTTTTGTTGGTCTCGACGACAGGCCTTGAAATCATTGACGATTTTTCTCTTCGATGGAATCTGAGGGAACACGAACACAGTCTATTAAATTCGAAATCAATGTGAAATCCATATTTCACTATTCCATAATTCACTAAGGAACGCGATTGATCGAAAGTCATTAATCTGGAGTAAGGTAAGATGATCGATCCTAGGAGCTTGGTGATCAAGGTGAAGTATGGATGCATCTGTCGATTTAGATCCACCACAACGCCGCATCTCTGGACGTGCATCTCGAGTAGCAGCGTTCGAAATTAATTCCTGTTTGCAATCGAGGCAGAGGCATCGGTAACAACTGGATACAGTTTCAACCGCAACATTTTCGCGCTGCATCAACGAAGTTAACAAACACGACGTGTGCTTCGGTGATTCCAACGTTCGCCATTGTTCCATCCGTTGTTAATTGTCCGAAGGATATATAGAAATCCGACAAGATAAAGGGCCACGTTTAATCCTCTTTGGCGGGCGCAAAATCTCTCGTCTCTCGACTTTACAACGATTGTCATTTTGCCTCATCGAATCGAGCTTTCGTGACTTCCGTGTTTCTTTCTGTTTCTTTATATTCTTCGCGCGAAATATGAAATGGAATTCTGAAATTGTCGTAATGCGTCGTAAAGGGACAATTATTTTGACGGATTCACCGGATCCACTGAAGGTTTTTTAGATTTTAGATTTTAGATTTCTCTTCACAATTGCACGCACTTTTAAATATCTATTTTAAAGAAGTTCGTAAGTAAAAAAAAAATTATACAAGTTTCATATTCGCGATAATTTCAATGAAACATCGACGAAAATTGATATCGTACCGCGTGAAATTAACGATGGGATCCCGATTAATTACGAAACGGTGCATATTATTTTCCGATCCCAGGGACAAGCGATGTTACGTTTTTCGGAACGGTCGTATATGAAATGAATTCGATAAATTGCCAATTGCGAAAGAACGAGGGGCAGCAAACAGACGTGAATCGAACGATAAATGAACCGTTGACGTTTGCTTCAAAAAAGAAAAAAAAAGAAAAAAGAAAAAAAGAATCGAGATGAAAATTGGAATAAAAGGGGGCACGTAACCCTCCTCTCTTTCTCTCCCCCCCCCCGCCGCCGCAAACCGGAAATAAGAGAAAGGCGAGAACGCGTGATTGAAATAGAGCCAACTATAATTGTTATTACGCGTTGGAACGCGTAGATATAATCAGGTTACACAGGCAAATAACATTGATTTTCAATGATCGCTATTATTGGACAAGTGGTTGGACAGCGTGGAAGCCGCACAGCCGATTTTCCTTTCGTCCCCTATACTCGGGGATTTATCTAGTGATTGATTCCAATCAGTTATCCAACTGTTTATCGAATAATCAATGCCGCCGCCGCCGCCGTCTGTTCGACGATGAGGTGCATGGAAATTACATTTCGCGTTCCACGATATGGGGGTTGTTCCGTCATTGAAAATTTACGCCCCTGTTCATTTGTCGGTAATAACTTTAAATGAAAATGGAAAATGGGGAAATTGGAAATTGCCGAGGCGCGTGGATAGAAGGCCATTTATGTTTTCGAGACGATAGTTTTTTCGTTTTTTAGGGGCACGAAAATTTTCACACCCTCCAAGAAAACTTTACGACTTGAAATTATACGCGAAATCTGAAAAGTTGAAGATGTTTATCCAACGCTTAAAAATTCTGAATTTTTTAACGAAAGATCCCTATTGTAAGGGATAACAAAATGCACAATTTTGTTCGATTTGTATTTTTCTGGTTACGAAGCATTAAAATTTAAAAACCGAATATTTCGCGATTTAAAATTTTGCTCACGAAACCATTACGATGTTGTATTTAAAAAACCGAAACTATAAAAATTGATTTTTGACCGTGTCAAAGGTTATCTCCACGTGTGTACAATTTCGTCAAAAATAGAATAGTAATGTCACGACTTGTCAATCGAGTATAAACGACCATAAAAATACAAAATATATATACAGCTCCAAATTGCAAAAAAAAAAAAAAAATTAAAAATACACAAGCCTGCCCTAATAAATCCATAACGCAACCCAAGCGTCCAAAATTGGACTCTTCTCCGTGAAACGAGTCAATAACCGTGGATCGAGGAGAGGAAAGCACGAAATAAAGCAGGAGGGAAGAGAAAGAATGCTAATGTATGGGCGGACAAACAATATTATAAGCTAATTTCCCGGAATCGCGTGCCGTTTGTTCGTTACGCGGGGGCAGGTTGTGGATTAATTTCATCGAAATGGTGCAATAGGCCGTGGCGGGTAACACTGCAATATCAATTTGACCCGGCGAACGGTCCATCGGTTCCGCGGAATTGTAAACAGACGTATTCGAAGGGGGAGGAGGGCGGCCCTCGTTTCGATCATCACGAACTCGAATGGATTGGTTAACCTTCTCGTCACCTCCTCACCCCTCCCTCCCTCCTGTTATTATTTAAACAATGCCTTTTTTGCATCCCTTCAACGATACATCCTCCTATCCTCCAACGTTTTCGAAAGAAGAAAATCATCGACGTCATCTTCGACACGATATAACATGCGTTCAATTGTTGGTAGAAGAGTAGAGTTTCGAATAATTTTATTTGGAAATTGCCGTGCAAGAAATTTCAACATCAAGAGAGATAACGCGTTATTAGAAACATGGATATGGAAAAAGTTTTGGAAAGAAACGTTTTAAAGTTTCAAGTTAAGGGTATTAAAGTATTTAAGGGTGGATGGTCCGATTTCGTATCGTTGGAGAATAAATCTTTGAGGAGGGGAGGGGAAGTTTTGGAGTGTCAGGATTTTACGATCTCTGAATTTTATAGGCCATTTATCATCGATTAATCGGTTTAACACGATCACGACCGACACATCTTTTCTTTTCGAGTAGATTCTCCGTTCCACTTCTCTCGTTACACTTTCCACAATATGCTATTTTTCGTTGAAAATGGATATTTGGATAAAAACTAAAAATGTACTTTTTTAGGGTAGTTTTGCTTAATACTCGAAACTGTTAACTGTTATTTGGATAAAACTTTGTTTTTTAAACTGGAGTAACTGCGTACTTGAACTCGTTTAGCTTCGTGCTATTCCGGACGAGCATGTAGAAAATTCAAGTTTTCTCGTGTTAAAAATTATCGCGAAAAAGTTCCGATTGTTTAACGAAACTAGTTTGTTGCCAGACGAGTAACAGGTCGCAACGTGTATTTTAAAAACTCGACTAGCGAAGAAATAAATTTCCTTCGATTAAAGAAAAAAAAAAAAGAAACTGTTTGAAGAAATGAATCGATCGATGGAGAAATTTGCGAATTCTTGCGATCCCTTTCTTTTTACTTCCTTTACCTCAAATATCGTTAACTCGCATAACGTAACATAACGTAACAAACCAGTTTGGCACAGAAATCGATGGACCGATACTACGTTATACTCCGATATCCGATATCGAGCGTCTTCCTTTTAATAGGAGGTAGACCGAGACGTAGGTAGCCTGCTACCTCCGACATACTTTTATGGCAATCAATCGAAGCCGTAAAACCTTTTCAAGTCAACACACGACCCATACAGATCTTGTTTCTTGACCACCACCGTTACACCATCGTCTCGAGGAATGTTACGACCTAACCAGACTCGAATCGTGTCCAACCAGGTTTACGTTCGAAACCTGGCTGATTTGTGTTATCCTTCCTCGCGCGTTCCCAACCGCGTCATTCATGGTGTCACGTTTCGAAGTAATGATAATCTTATTTGAAAAATAAAAGCTCGAGCTGAATGAAAAAATAAATAAATTTTTATACGGTTGGTATAAAGATTTTCATTCTTCTAATTCTTCTAATTCCTCTTAAGACGCGCTCCATGTTTCGATCGACAAACAGAGGAAATCACGCGAATTCTTATGCAAAGCAAAAATGGGACTTACCTTAAGCTGATGTTGCGGTCGTCTGAGCGCACCCTGGTCTCGTCGCCCGCCTAGCCGATCGGCCTCCGCCTCCAGTCCCTCCATCGAGGACTCGGCTTCGCTCAACCAAGCCAAGAACTTGTCCAGGGACCGGTCGAAGTTGTGGAGGGAGTTCATCGCGGAGTGAAGCAGTTTTCCTCGATTGATGATGCTGAGAAGGATTTAATAAGATACAGCCTCGTCACCGATTCTATTTCAAATAGTGTCTCTCAATTCGATCGAATTTCTATTCTCCAATCTCTCCTCGAATGAGGGAGGGGAAAAAGGAAAAAGAGAAATTCGAGCAAATTTTATTCCAGAACGAATCGATATCGAAATGAATAAATTCTATATTATTCGTGCTCGTTTATTTTAAAGAACGAACAGAGATGCAAAATCTAAAATCTAAAGGTATATATACCTGGTGTTGAGGTTGTTGTATCTCTGATTGATGGTCTCCGTCATCTTTTTCACGCGGGTCGTGTCGTCCTCCTGATAGACGGCGATCAGCTTCTGCGTGAGCTGATTGAACTGCTCGATCTGATGCTTGTACTGGTGGAGCTCGGCGTGGAACGACTGCAAGCACGAGAGGCGATGAAATAGGAACAAGGGGGGAAAGGCGGTAAACTTATCTCGCGGCCCGCTTTCGAGTGCGTCGTCCATCGAAAACTCGCGTCCCTCTCGATAACTCGCGCAACTTAAATCTTGAGAGGAAGGTGGAAAAGACGACTCTCCCCTTTCCAACTTTTATACCGGTGGAAAAGTTTTATTTGAACGCGGCGCGGCGACCGATTCGCGTCGATAAAACTTACGATAATCCAGATTAAACCGTCGAACCAGAAAACGTGTTCTTGTTCGTGTCGCGCTCGTCCAACGAATTATCTTGGATTTTAACTCTCGAAACGAACCGCTTTCGTCGATAGGCACTTTACCGTGTTAAAGGGAACAAAACATGGAGAATTAGAGAAACGAGACGGGAAAAATGTAACGTATCGAGAAACAGAATCTCTGAATGTGAAAAAAAGTCAAGTTTTTCGAAACACACGAAATATTCTCTCGTTGATCATTAACCGAATAAACGATATTTCCAAAAGTATCGTCCTTCTTAAAGTCATTCAAACATCGAAGGAGGAGGAAAAATGTACGAGATAAAACAAGACGCACCTTTCTCATCGATCTAACGGTAATGGCTCCTCTATAATTTCCTATCCTCTCCTATTGTTACAAGCGAGCGAACGACGATAATTCGACCGCGAGGGGAATCGACACGAGGAGAGGAAAAAAAGGAGAGGAGCAAGGGGGAATAATAGAGAGAAAAAAAAAAATAGATAGAAAAGGTAGAGAAACGAGGTGAAGCCCGGGCGAAGATATGCCAAAGATACAACGTTCCTCGGCGAAATAAATTATTCCATGAATATCTCATTCGACTCTTTTGAATGTAAACAGAATTGCGTGACGCGCTACACGATCTCGCGTTGATTGGAACTTTGGCCGTTCCTTTTACCCTCCTTCAACTCCTCTTCTCCCTCTGCTCGGCCATTTTTCCCCCCGACCAGTCGCGTTATTCCGGTACCCAAAGCGGAACGTTGGCTAAAAAGAGGTTACTAGCTGCTACCGGGATGAATACCGATTCGTTCGTTCCCTTTAATCGCGGTCGCGGCCTGTAACGAACCTTCTAGCCCGCGGCCCTTTCTTTTTACGTATCTATTTCTCTTCTTCTTCTTCTTCTTCTTCTTTTTTTCTCCCGTCTCTCGAACGATCGCAATGGCAACCGACTCGCCGGTTAGATTATACCGGGGAAGAAGAAGCTTTATCCCGTCGTTTGCGTAATTTTCTGACGGCATGCAATTAGATCGCGAGATTATCGCAACCCGTCTTCTTGATGGCGATACGAAATTTATAATACTCGTCGAGAAATTGTTATTACTTATTTTCTCTTTTCTTTTCTTTTTATAAATGACGAGAGTGTTTCCAGAATGTTAAGAAGTGTATATAACAATCGAGTCTCATTATCCGAAAGAGATAATGGAAATAATGGAATAAATTGTAATAAATATCCTTTACCAATTAAATGAAAGAACCACTCGATCCGCCAACCATTCGATACACAGTCACAGAGACATCTCTTCGTCTCATTTTCGAACAAATCATTTGAAACGGTGTTTTAAAGAAAATATATCTTTCCACGTACATACAGGATCCACGATCGAAATCGATCGTCTATAACGATTTAAACTCGTTTACCCATCGGTTTCACCAATGCGTCGAATTCCCGGATGGCTCCACCAACTATCCTCCAGCTAATCAACGCGAATTGCCGCGATCAAACCGTCTTCCGTCCATCGTCGAGGGACGAAGAAGAGACAAAGAGGGCGATCCTCGAGGAGGAGTGGTCGGTTTCCCGCGACTCGACGGGTTAATATGGAAAGCAGGCAGGGTTTCGAGAAAGGGGGGAGAAAAATGAGAGAGACAGAGAGAAATATATATATATATATACCTTTTGTTCCCGGAGCTGCGCCTCGAGAACGTCGGCGGTGTGGCCGACGGCCCGCATTTTCTCCAGCCGAGTTTCCATTCGCGCCAACCAGACCTCCACCTCGTTCCTTTTCGCCTCGTATCGCTGGCTGTCCCCGAGCATCGCGTCCAACTCCGTCTTCCTCTGCATCATTTTCGAGTTCATCTCGTCCCAATGCTCCCTCAGCTTCGTAACTGAAACAACAATCGGGCCGTTTTCAAACGTTCCCCTCTATAACTGTTACACGTCTCGAATGTTTGCCAACCAAAAGAATGATTTCTTTTTTTTTTCTCTCCTGTGTCCCATTGCGCGTGTGGGGCAACGCGATGATTCGACGCGTCGAAGAAAAGTGTTAATACTTGAAGGGTAATTTTTTAAAACGAAAATGAAAGAGAGAAAATGTATTAGAAATAATATCTCGTTTAAATCGTGCGTCAAGAGAATTGAATTTATTAGTCGCGAGCGTGTAATTTATATAAATATTTCGTGTATAATACGAACATTCCGGGAAAAATGCTCGTAAACGCGTGATCAAGTATCAATATTAATGGCGACACGAGTCTCGGTCTCGTTACGGGATAATTGGCGATAAACGATGATCGTTGAAAGTTTCGAGATTGAGTTGAAACGTCGAGTTGTCTTTGACGTAGATAGCTACTAAAGATAGCTACTACTAAAGCGACCGTTTTCCAGGACAGGTGATGATTTATGCGTTTAGCATCAGACCAGGTGAGGTAAAATACTACCACGTCCGGTGAGCAAGAGATACGATCGCATGTTCTTCTTCTGCGAGATAAAAAAAAGGGGGGGGGGAATACACGCACGCAATAACTCGTTAAAAGAATTAACTTGTTAAAGGGACATACGGGATTATTAAAAAAGCCAGTGACAAAGGGAACGAACTCAATCTGTTTCTCGTTAGAAGTTCATTTTTATATTACGAATCTGCCTTTTATCCGCAGAACAGAGGATAAAAATATATATATATATATACGTACGGACAAAGCTCGCGAGTGCTCGCGTTTAGTGATCGCTCGGTCGATTCCTATCCGAGGAACGATTCAAAAAGGTTGATTGAACTTTCATCCCGTCATCGAAGAATAAGATAAGAAAGGGAGCGTATGAATAAATAAAACCTATCGTGGAATCTATTCGATTAATCGATCGTTCAATTTGCTCGTGAAATAATTTCATTTGCGAGCAAACGTTGGGGAAAACGGAAGGGCGGTGGTTGTGATTTTAAAACAAAGCTTTGAATAATCGATGGGGCCGCACAATTGATATTATTCGCGGGTTATTAAACGTTCCGACACGCGACTCCAACTCGAGAGAAAGAGAGAGAGAGACGTGTACAGAGGCTCGTTAATCGAGCAGTGAGAAAGTGGGCCGTTGGCACGTGGCCGTTGTTTCAAGAACACCACCACTTCTCCGAAAGGTAAAATCCAGGTTGAAAATTCGCGCGGCAGACACGAGGAATCAGCTGGAAACTGTCCAACGTGGAGCAGCTTAGCGGAGGGAAGAACGGCGCAGCTTTGAAAAGCGGAGGGTGCAAAAGCATTGGCAACGTTTCAACATCCGTAACAACAGAATTACCACGCGTGGACAACTCTGCACAATGGGATATTATATATATATATAGTGTACCTTTGATGATGCAACGCATGTGTACGATGTTTCGCGACAGGAGAACAGGACCGAGGCTAAAAACGAAAACAACGTAATTTCAGAGTGTTAAACCCTCGAAACACTTTTGATGGATCAAAATGGTTGAAGGCGTAGCTTCGACGATTTGATCGCGTTATATTCGTTACTTTGAACAAGAGGCTATCTATTGTTGGCGGAATTTGTTAGTACGCCGATGAATTTTTTTTTTTTTTTCCAGTGGATATATAATGGTCGAAGAAAGGAAGATACATCAGATTCGACGGTGGCCAATAAACGCGTGTAATAATATTCGAAAACGACAATCTATCGGGCTGTTACAATGGAAGACAAATTTTCGCGCAAACATTCACGGATTCCCATCGTTAAAACCAGACAGTAGCACAATTTAAAATGAAATAGAGACCTATAAATTTTTCGAAACCGAAGAGTACATATTGAAAAAACGAAAACAATTTTTAGAAATTATCATCGACACATTTGTAATACTTTACACGAAATATTTTTCCCATTATATTGAATCGATCGATTTGCGAATACACAAGCGAATCAAACAAAATTCGTTGATATCCGATTTCTAAATTTTCCTCCGCCTTTTTTTTTTTTTTTCCCTCCAATCTCGAATCCATCCTATCCCTCAGAATCGAAACGAAAACGTCGTCTCGATCGATCACTGTCCGCATCGATACATCACCGTGGCTAATTTTCCCGCGGACACGGAACAAAGAATTACGATCGAAGTGCATTCGCACGTAACCGGAAGCATATGCTATTCTCGTGGACTGATATAATCCGACAAACCACGCATGGCAGACCAATGCCGCCAACTAAAGAGGGAGAAGCGCCGACTACGTGAGGGATCCTAGGGATCCCGGGACCGGAAGTAAAGTGGCTTGATCTATCACCCCACCTTAGCCTCTCCCTCTCTCCAAAGGGGTGCCGAGCAAAAGACGAGGACGTTGTCTCCCAGCGGCTGCTCTCGATGACTTATTACGAGAGCAATTCGCTCTCATCGACCCCTTACACGACTCTCAGACCCCGGTGTGCCCTACCCTTTTGAACTCGTGTCACAAGCGTGACAAGTGTTCGATGGGACATTAAAGATGGCACGTACACCCTTCAACTTGGGGAGGGGAGGGGGGGAGCGAGCCAACAGCGCCGCTGAATTAGCGAATGTCACTTTTAAAATTTCAATTTTGTCCAACCAACTCACTCTCGCATCGTGTTACGATCAATTGGACACAATTCTGCTTTTTATATAATATTTGAATACTTGAAATTTAACGAAATAATATTTGAATTCGAATTTAAGAAAGCTTCCGCTTCCAAAAGAGTTAACTCGTTGTAATTTATTTATTTAATAATTCGCTCGATTTTGCTTGCAACAACTAACATAATTAGCGAACCAATTTACCAACCCCATTTTACCCCATTATACATTCGATAAACAATATGTTATGTTACTTAAGCAACTATCTAAATAACTCGTGAATTTCATTCATAATTTACCCACAACTATATCAATTAATTAATTAATCAACCTGGCCTCCGCCAGTTTTATTATATGATGCACGTACATAATGCAATCTCATCCATATGTATATATATATCCGTCATACCAGTTGTAAAAACTGTATACAATAAAAATATTCGAGCCGCGAAAATACGGTGGAATATTAAATTAATCTTGGCCGTGATCCCTGTAATAAATAATCTGAGCCTTCGTGCAAAAAGCATGTAAATAAGGTAAATAAAAACGTCGGATAACGCGAGCCTAAATTACAGATACACCTTATCAACCGCGCTTAATCCGCATAGAACGAGCGGTGTGTCAATCGAATCGTCGACCACCTCATACTCTGTGGAGGTGTGCGTGACCATAACTAACGATCGTCGTCCGTTCCCTGGAGAGGGCCAAACCCCGACCTACCCTACCGGAGCCAACTTTGTATTGCGAGCGCCACGATGATTGCACTGTGTTTGCGCAATCGAATTGCGCCTCTACGCTCAAAAATACCGAACGGAATTCTGTCGTGGTGGAAATCAGGATGAATCGAAATATTCCAAAGTTGATTAAAACGCGGCATTAGAAGGTTTAAAATAAACGCAAGGATATTTTAAGGATTATTCGAACATCAATTTGGGCCAACTCTAATCTCTTTTACGAGCGATCAAATAAAAGCGAGGAGTAAAGATTTATTATATCCAGCTAATTTTCTTCTTTCAGTTCTTCAGTGATCGAATTAAACGTTCTTTTCGCTGGAGGGCAAACGACACACTTTTTGTTTCCACCAAAAAGTTTCTCTCTCAGTGTGTGCCTGCGACAACGGTGTGTTCATCGACGGTGTGGCACAGTGGCCATCCTCGTGAAAGGGTCAATTTTGCGGCCGGATAAAGCGAGAGGAGAGAACGAGAGGACAGGGTTAACTTAAATTACCGGTAACGTAATGAACGAGCCGACTTTTGAGTTTATTTTCGAATCAACTTAACCAAAGGTGTCTCATGAATATATTAACATCCCGTACACAAAACCTCGTTCAAGGATATATACGAAAACCGTGTCGACGAGGCATAAGGGTCGACGCGACGTATAAGAAAATGCGAGTCGTGTAGCCAGTACTACACAACAGGCAGGCTCCAACCTCGCATGCCTTTTATTGCCTCGATGCCTCCCCTATTAAATTCAGATGAATCGCTTAATATATTCAAATTGGCGGCCTCCTGGCAAAGCGAGGTTGGCAGGGAGAGGCATTCCCGATTGAAATCGATCAAATGCAAAGGAACGAACGAGGAAGCGAACGACGAAGAGAAAATGAAACGACGAAGAAGAGGAAGAGCAAATGCATCGCGATTACTTTGGCGGAAAATCGAAGTCGAGCAAAATCCTATCCGGGGAGGAAAAAATTATCCAGAGGAGAGTTGCGAAACACCGTGGGCGAAATTGTAATGGCAAAATAATAATCGTGAAAGGCAAACAGATAAAGCTTGGCTCTCGTTTAGCCGCAAAACTTACTTGCACAATTATTCGGTTCAATAATCTAATATAAAATATATCCTGGCTCCTTATCGATGCCGGCAGTTGAAGTGACGATATCGAAGTAACCGATTCGACCGATTAATAATTTAAATTTAGAATATCGGTATTGTTCGATACGTTTCAATTTGCCTTCATCGAATTAATCCCCCTTCCGAAAGCCCGTAAAGGTCGAGCAGAATGTCCGGTTAATTAACACCGTCGATGGCAAAGCATATCCGATTGGCAAAGGCAAAGGGCCGAACACGACGAACAAACGTAAACCGTGCACACGATGATCGAAGTCTGGAGGATTCAATTCGACTCCAACTTCGTTAAACAGTTTCCTCCTCCCAGGGATCTTCTTTGGATCGAAACCATTCGCTCGGACCAAGTTGACCCAAACTTGCACGCTTCCCTCGGACCTCGAGATTTAGAGGCGACCGATACGTCCGGGCAAATAAAGAAAGTCATCCTGCGAATCAGGATGGACAAAAAAAAAAGGAGGAGGGGGAAAGG